TTTATAACCCAGCGAAAAATATCACAGCTGTCAAACATCTGAAGAAAAAGTCAATTCTAATCTAAGTCATTCATCTGCTAATACTGCTTAATAAACTCTTGGCATAATCAGTAATTCACACCATCATATGTCAAAATGCCTGAGTAAATCATTTCAGATCTATTGCCATTGCTTTGATTACCTCCTTTGTTTTGGTCATAGTCTCTGCTATGATACTGGCAGCCCTAGGGTCATCAGTCACTGGAATGAAAGGACGAGCAGAAGTAGCTGAGGTAGAGGGTGTTACTGCAGACGATGGAGTTACAGCTTCCTCTGAAGGTCCAACCTTCAAGATGTAAACAACATATTTTAGAGTTCTGCAAAACAGTTTTGAATGACTCAAAAAAAAATTGTTGACAAGTACCAAAGATTAGCAGCTGTCTGGATTTAGCAGCACAGTGCTGGACACACATAAGATCATAACTTAAGAACATAATAACTAAGAGCAGGACTAGGCATTTCAGACCCTCGAGCCTGCTCCACCATTTGATACGATCATGGCTGATCTCACCTTGGCCTCAAGTCCACTTTCCTGCCCAGTCTCCATAACCCATCACTAATTTAAAAACATGGCTATCTCCTTCAATTTACTCAATGCCCCAGCGTCCACCACACCTTTGGGTAGTGAATTTCACAGGTTCATGACCTTCAAGTCAAGTAATTTCTCCTCATCCGTTTTAAATCTGTCACCTTTGTTCCTAAAACTACGACCTGTTGTTCTAGATTGCACTACATGAGGAAATACCCTTCCCAGGTCTACTTTCTCAGTCCCCTTTAGCATCTTATACACCTCAATTTGATCTCTTCTCATTCTTCTAAACTGCAGACAGCATATGCTCTCTTCATAAGACAAAGCCAAAAAACGGCATGCCTTGAAATTATGTCAAATGTTCTTGGTTTATTTTTATTCAAAGGTCAAGCTGGGGTGGAGAAGAGATGAGGCGGGAAAGTCAGGTGTTCACCGACAGACACCAGTGAATGAGTAGTTAGGTCCCTTCAGACAATGGCTCAATTCCACAAGAAGTTCCCTTGTCATTCTCAACTCATCCAAGACCTCAAATGTCATACTACGCATATATGTTTTAAACGTTCATTTAAAAGACCCTATTCAGCAAAAAATAAACACCAAAGGCTTGCATTTGATTCTCACCTCTCCTCTCCTGTCCTGCCAAGGATTGGGACTCTCTCTCTCTTCCCCATCACTTGCCACTTCCGAAGCATGCTCAACAGCTGGGCTTGTAGCTGCAGAGGAGTCTGCTGGTGGTACTGGAGATGACGATGTGCATTCCACAGGTGCAATCATGCTGGCTGGCATCAAAGCTCTAACCAAAGCATCTCTACAGGGAAAAACAAAATCAATTAAACATAAAAGGGAAATTTTGTTTTGGACCAAACCAAACCCCCTCAAAATATACGAAGAAATCTTAGACCCAAACATTTTCTTATTTTAAAGGTAAGTATAAGGTGTTGTATTCAAGATGCAGTTCAACTAGTCAAACTACTCAACATTGAGCAAAACTCACTTTATTCATACACTACAGGTAAAATACAAAGGAAAATGTAAAAAGAATTGGCTTAGCTGTAACTCTACCAAAATGCTTACCAAAATAATAGATGCAGTAACTATCACTGACTAACTGGTCCAATATAGTAATATCACATTATCACACACGTGACCAAGGCAAATTTAGGAAAACAGATTGTCTCACATGCAACTCCAGTAGCAGGAAAACACCAAGAGAAAACTCAGTGTAGCAGAGAGAGATGTACTATAGCTTCCAAACCCTGAGACACCTGCGACCATTGCTGAAAGCTAAAACTCACAATCCTCGTTCTTGACCACACCCATTTACAGGCTGTTTCCATTTGTTCCAACTTTTGCAAAAAAAACCCAAGGCCTCACAAGCTGTTTATTTCACAAGTTTGCAACAGACAGCCCTCCATCTCTGCCTTAAAACATCTCTTCAAAAAAAAAGGACAAAATACACCTCTTAAAGCTATAGTATCATCACAAGTCTAGTGACTGCAGTTTAATATGTCTGGGTTTGCCAATGCATAAACCTCCACCTATATACTGGAGCAATTGAAAGTCATTGTCAAGTGCCTGATGAGAAAATCCAAAATAAATCATTCTAACAAAAATTAGCCATTGAAATGAGAAACCAATGTTTAAAAAAAAGGAGAGATAAATGCTGCAGAAGAAACATGTAGATTATCATGTCAGATAAGTGCTCCAGTGCCAATGGTGAACCAGGCAGGCAAATTGACTCACAGGTGGGGAGAAGTAAAGGAATAAACAACATATATTAGGACACAGGATAGGACAGGGCAAGCCAAGGCTATTGTGGTCAGACCAATGATTCCTTAAAATTTGCATCACAGGTAAAAAGGGTGGACACGAAGGCGTTTGGAACGTTTGCCTTCATTGCTCAGACTTTTGAGTGCAAAGTTCAGATGTCATGTTGAGGTTGTACATGGCATTAGTGAGGCCTGTTCTGGAGTACTGTGTGCAGTTCTGGTCGTCCTGCTATAGGAAGGATAGGGTTCAGAAAATATGTACCAGGATGTTGATGGGAATGTTATAGAGAGGCTGGGACTTTATTCTCTGGAGCGTAGGAGGTTGAGGGGTGACCTTATAGAGGTTTATAAAATGAGGAACACAGGTAAGGTGGATAGCAAGGGTCTTTCCCCTCGAGTGGGGGAGTTCAAAACTAGAGGGTGTATTTTTAAGGTGAGAGGAGAACATTTTTAGAAGGACATGAGGGGCAACTGTTACACAGAGTGATTCATGCATGGAATGAACTGCCAGAGAAAGTAGTAGATGCAGTCACAGATACAACATTTAAAAGACATTTGGAAAAGTACATGAATAGGAAAGGCTTGGAGAGATATGGGTCAAACGCAGGCAAATGGGACTAGTTTAGTTTGGGAACATGGTCAGTGTGGACTAGTTGGACCAAAGGGTAAGTTGGATGGGATGAGCTGTTATAAAAGGGACAATCTTATAAAATGATTGGCATGTTAAAGAATGAGTGAGGAGACAGTTGGAAATTACATCAGTAAGATAACCAGTACTTTTGAAAACAAACAAATAATCAGGATTTAGACAGACTACCCAGCCAAACCAGGAATGACCATGAATTGATCACACACTAATAAGTCAAAGAGAGTTCAGGCTGCCTCCAATCATGCACAGGGAGTAGTGGCTACTACAGGTAAAGAAGGCCTCAGTTTTAGTGGTTCAATGCACAAGGTAAATCAAAGACAAAAGAAAAACCTCAGTCAATAGAACGAGAGACTTGTGCCCAGTAAACCAGTGTCATAAACTGGCATTTCAGGGTGACAGGCTGAATACCACTACTTTTACTAAGTATCATTTCTTTATTATATCATGATAAACATCTGTAAACTTATGAAGCATATTTGTACCTAGCATGACTAATCAAATCCAGTAAACGTTAGAAAAAAAAACCCGAAAGAACTGCGGAAGCTGTAAATCAGGAACAAAAACAAAGTTGCTGGAAAAGCTCAGCAGGTCTGGTAGCGTCTGTGAAGGAGAAAACAGAGTTAACGTTTCGGGTCCAGTGACCCTTCCTCAGAACTGACGGTGGCTGGGAAACGTCAGTTTATATGCAGAAAATAGGGAGGTGGGTGGGGTAGGGAGTAAACGATAGGATAGAGCCCAAAGAGAGAGAAAGACAGTTGGCCAGACAAAGGAGTTGCTAATGATCAGGCTGGGAGGGTGAATAGTTGTTAATGGAGACTGTTAGTGACTAACAACAGGGGGTGTGTAATGGCAGGCTATGCGGTAACAAGGCCGGGACATGGGAGAGTTTAGGCCCTAAAATTATTGAACTCAATATTGAGTCCGGAGGGCTGTAGGGTCCCCAAGCGGAAAATGAGGTGTTATTCCTCCAGCTTGCATTGGGCTTCACTGGAACACTGTAGCAAGCCAGAGATGTTGGCCAGGGAGCAGGGTGGTGCATTGAAGTGGCAGGCAACAGGTAGGTCAGGGTCTTTTTTGCGAGCAGAACGTAGATGTTCTGCGAAGCGGTCGCCAAGTCTACGCTTTGCTTCCCTAATGTAGAGGAGACCACATTGTGAGAAGCGAATGCAGTAGACTAGATTCTGGGAAGTGCTGCTTCACCTGGAAGATATGTTTGGGCCTTTGGATACTCGGGAGGGAGGAGGTAAATGGGCAGGTGTTGCACCTTTGCTGGTTACAGGGGAAGGTGCCGTAGGGCTGCGGGGAGGTGAAGGAAGTGTGGACCAGGGTGTCCCGGAGGGAACAGTCCCTGCGGAAGGCAGACAAGGGAGGGGAGGGGAATATGTGTCTGTAAATGTTAGACTGATTTTGAGAGAACTAGTCTATAACTGCAATTGACTTAGGTCTTACAATTAAAGTGCACCCCACAATCTTACAGTGCTTTTGGCTACCTTGGAACAAGGAGTAGTGGAACCATAAAGAGTAGCCCCACAGCGATGGGTGACAGAGACGGTTGTGAAGGAAGGGCAGAACGGCTGACTTGCCACCACAAATGCTACAGAGGAGGAGGAGGAAGAAGAGCATAAAAGAGGAGAATGCACCATGGCTGCAATCATGGATTATATGTTTGGTAGCTGATTACCTAAAAGAAAAAAGGTAAATATTCCAGTGGAAGATTTTTATTATTCAAGAGCCCGAACTTAAAACATAAGTATTTTGCTTTCATGTGCTAAAAGACTAGTTGTCTTTTATTAGTTATGTTGTTGAGAATATTCTCAAGCAGTCAAAAATATTCTCAATATTCTCTTAAATTGTCGAGAATAGTCAGAGAATGTTTTAGGTAAAGATTTCCGCTAGCTAAGACGATTACAATGCATTTGCTACCGGAATGAATTCAACTCTTTCATTTATTTAAGAAATGGCCAGAAATATTTAACATAGATGAATCATCTAACTTGGAGCTCATATGCCAGAGGTTTACTGCAAACAGTCCAATGACCAAGCTGTGGTGGCAATAACAGCATTTTTAAACAAACATTTCAACAGAGATCCAGACAGTCAAGGATAAATGAGGTGATGAGATTTCTGTTTGTCTCGAGCTAGTAATAATCCAAATAAATCTTGTTCATTTTTTATTACAAAATATTTATTGCAACAACTACATTTTCCTTTGTGTCACTGATCTGCTCATCAGAAACTAGGACATAACAGTTGCCAGGCTGTGGATCTTACTATCATGAGTATAAAAAAAAGCATATCTTTTGCTTAGCTGCATGACCAGCAATCTCCAACTTATTCTTATTAAAAGGTCCAGGAATCATTTAAATAAGCAAAAATACTCAATTCTAAGTTGTTACCTAAATGTGGACTCTTGTGGGGCAGCAATCATGTCTTATCTTTGGTTCAGGAGACTTGGGTTCAAGTTCCACCTGCCCAAAGTGTGTGTAATAACATCTTTGAACAGGTTGATTAGAAATGTTTTTTTAAAAACAGAAGTTCTTACCTAGAATACATGATCTGCAGAGCTGTCAGCACATGGGACAATGCCTGTTGCTTGGCGTGGTTCCCATCCAAAGAAAGTAGAATTTTCGCTAAAGAGGGGCGATTAGGTTTGGAATTGCATGAGCCACTGATTTTGTTGCTGATGGTGGAGGAGTCTAAATCTGACTGGACACCTATAGGGAAGTACATGAATGGAATTACAAATATACCATCATGTTTTCTCAAACAAAAATTCTTCCTGCAGCAATACAAGTATTTTGGCGGGGGGAGCTGTTGTTAATCTATTCAAACGTATAAGCAATGAAAAAAATTGTGACAGAAGACAAATCTTAAAGAACGATGTACGTAGATAAACTACATTCATCAAATTGAAAAATTGCACAAATCCTACAATTATGGAAGAGGGCAGCTTAATACCAAAACACTAGAGGCTTCATGAGTCCACAACAAAATTTTGAATAATTTAAAATGTATATAACATACACATCCAACTATGAAAAAGTACAAGCTCACAAATGCACTTGAATGCTGCACATATTTATTCTTGGGAAATATGCTCAATTCTAACATCACTTGATTCTTCTTACAGAAACTATTAGTATTCAGAAAACTTTAGCAAATATACCAATTAAATAGTTATCAAGGCACAATTAATAAAGTTACCCAAGTATGAAGCGCCCAATGGGTCCCTAGCAGTTTGAAACAGGACTGGTTCATGCACAGAAGGCATTGCCACATCCACTGTTGTCCACGCTATACTGTGTGAAGACCCACAAGCAACACGGGTGATTTTCTGTCCTTCTAGACCTTGTACAAGGGTAGGTTTCCTGTTTACTGTTGTGGTTCCATTTCCTTGCTGGCCATGGTCATTATCACCCCAAGCATAAACCTAAGAATGTTATATTAGGAAAGAAAGATTGGATTTAAAATCAAGAATCTGGAACATCAAATTTGGTACATAATGAAGTTCTTTATTAGTGCACAGAAAGACTTTGCTTAAGGACACCGAAAACCCTTTTGAGCTGTCATGAACCCCTCAACTTGAACATTAGTAGAACTGACTATGAAAGCACTGGATTAAATATGTTGAAAAACTTTATGAAATGAGTTCCAGCTTCCATTTTATGGCCTGTGAAAAATGGCAATTAAAAATTACAAGAAAATGAACAGGTCAAACCATCTTGAAATTTCAGACATTCTATTTTCAAGAGATTGGATAATTTCTACAAGGAACAAAAACAAAGTAGCTAGAAAAGCTCAGCAGGCCTGGCAGCACCTGTAAATCAAAAAAAAAAAAAGAGTTAAAATTTCGGGTCCGGTGACCTGAGTTCTGAGAGTCACTGGACCAGAAATGTTAATTCTCTATTTTCCCTTCACAGATGCTGCCAGACCTGCTGAGCTTTTCCAGCAACTTTGTTTTTGTTCCTGATTCACAGCATCCACAGTTCTTTCGGTTTTAATTTCGACAAGGGTCTTGTTTGTAAAAACAGCATTTTGTTCCCTTGCCTTGCAGAAGTTTTAACTAGGATGCTAACGACTACCCATGTGTTAAACAAAGATATTCACTCACTTGTCCTGTATCAGAGACAGCAAGACAGTGCAATGCACCGACAGCCACATGAATAATCTTTTTCCCACGTAGACCTTCCACCACCTGTGGCTTCCGAACATGAACATCAGTACCATGGCCGAGTCTGAAGTAGTCACCTTTGCCCCTGTGGATGAGAAAAGTTAAAAGTGATACGTATGAAATGAAGTTGTATCATGACCATACAAGGCTTTCATTGAGGATGTTCAACGAATGTACTTTTGAATATTTTCATGAGAAATTCAGTTTTCACTACAACTCTCTTCCCACACAAGTTCTATGCCTGTGATTTACAAGTGTAAACTTTTGGTGCAAATTTCTGTACAGTATCAGGGCACCTAGCCCAAGTTTCTGATAGCAAGATCAAATCTTTTGAAAAATTTAGAACTTTGAAAGAAGTAATGGAGGGTTCACAGCATACACCTCTGGCCTCCAGAAGTTTGAAATTCCCATACAAATCCATAGGACTCCCTGTGAAGTCCCAAGACTTAATAGAAAATTTAAGTCCATGGGTCTACTTAACGTGACAATCAATTATTTGGACCACAAAGTACTTTTCAAAATTACAACTTACCAGGTCCATACTACACCAGGTTTTGTAAGTGCCAAAGAGAACTGAGCGCCACACTCAATCTGGCAAACCCCTTGTCCATTGAGTCTTTCAATATTTTGGGGAACATTGCAACCTTCACTTCCTCCACGACCCAGCTTTCCAAAGTCACCATCACCCCAGGAAAATACCAGTCCTGCAGAACAATATACCAATAGACTAGGTGCATTGCAGGCAATGAAAGGTTTTATACCTATAAATAGCAATATTGTCCCTACCTTCATCAGTTAATGCTAGTGTTTGTGCATCTCGACTTCCACATGCTACCTGGATGACTCTGTGCCCCAGAAGAACCTTCACCTAGTTAAGTGAATATGATACAATTTTTAGATCAACTTTATCACCATTTTATGACGTTGTATTAGACTATTGTGTCTATTGTGAGTAAAATAAAACGTTGCATAAATAGAAAATGGCCACAATATTCAGTAGGTTAGCCCACATCTCTAGACAGAGTAGATGAATCAGGCACTGACCACCACCCGAATTCTTTTTAACTTGGAGAAGCATGTTTTCATCAAATCAAGTTGCTGCCACCATTATTCTAGTTTCCTAACCACTGGGCAGAAAATAAGACATTTTCTTAGAAAAAAATTTATATCAGCTATACAAGTCTATTGGTGCAAGCAAAATTTTCTAAAACTTTATTTAGCCAGCCGAGTAACAGCAACCTTAAACTTTTGTTTCCTATAAGCAACATACAAAATATCATTAACTATTTAATTCAGAAAATTGTGCAGTTACCAATTTTGGTCTCAGCTGCGTTGTGTTATCTCCATGTCCAAGTCTGCCATATTCGCCGAGACCCCACGTGTACAGTTCACCGCTGGAGGTTATGGCAGCACTGTGAGAACTCCCACAAGCAATATCTCGAATACGCTTGGTTTTCAATGCCTCAATCAGTCTTGGTTTATCACAATTCCTGTACATTTTTTTTCGGAAAAGGAAAAAATGAACATTCTTGTTGAGACAAGTCCTGTGAAAACCTGGAGGTACACTAAACACTTTAAAGAAATTTATGCAATTTCTGAGATAACATGTGATGGGCACATCTCTGAAGAAGGGTCCTCTGATGTTGCCTGGCCCGCTGTGCTCTTCCAGCTCCACACTGTGTTATCTCTGACTCCAGCACTGGCAGCTCTTGTTATCTCTTATGCAATTTCTGATATTTCTTTAAAATCGAAAAACCAATTTTCTATATGTTTAATATGAAGCACTATATAGTCGAATCTGATGGCGCATTCATACATTACTACCAGTTTAATGAGTAATGATAAGTTTTAGCTTCACATTCACATTGGACAGTGGATAGAATTTGGTGCAAAGGCCAAACCTGGCTCACTCCAATGTCAGTTTGAACCACAACTCTAGATTCAGACTTCATCAGAACTATAATTGCAGCACTGACAGGAAGCAAAGGCAATTTGACATTGCTGGGTATATACACTCTTAGATGCTCACCAATCTAAACATTATAATCTGAAAAGAAACAAGCTCCTAATGCTAGCTCCAATAGTCATTTGTCCCAAGGGGAAAGTGTATATTGAAGGTCAGGTCATTTCTCACAGGAGACAAAGAATTCAACTCAAAGTAAACACCAACAGAAGTTAGAGCTACAACCAGTCACAACAGAGAAATGGGCAGAGAAACAACGTAAACAAAGTTAAGAAGTGCAAGGACAACTACTTAACCAGGAAATCAGAGATGAGATGGGTAAGGAATGGTAATACAAAATAGAAAAAACACCAAATAAAATTGGTTAATTCTTCCTAATGAATGCACAAAGGCTACTTGCCATCCTGGGACAAAAGTTAATCTTAAAAATTCTATTCTTTAAGAATAAGCAATTAATTTAGCAGAAAAATACAGCAAAACAATGTTGCTTTTAAAAGCAACTTACATTCTGCTGAAGTGTCCAAGCTTTCCATCGTCTCCTTCGCCCCAGGAAAACACCTTTCCATCAACGGTTAAAGCCATTGCATGACGACCACCTGCAATGCAAAGCGAAATATAAATATAGTTATGAACTACTGGACAACACTTTAAAAAGAAATTTGACTACATACCTGAATGCACAGCTACTTTCTTTACAACATAATTGCTAAGAGCTGAGATCTGCCGAGGGATGGGTATTGTCCCACTGGATAGTCCAAGCCCAAGTCTTCCATTAGTAGCTTCGCCACAAGCATAGACCTTTCCCTCAGCAGTAACTGCAATGCAAAACATGAGCCATGTGTATAAACTTATTGCCTTGTCAGAAGCGCTTCAAAGCTTAAAATATTTTAAAATATCATTTATATACAAAGGAAATTAGGTGAATTTGATAACGTTGAACAATTAGGCATTATTTAAAGAGATAGTAGAGGAATGCAAGAAACTGTCCCTTTGAAAGTGTTCTCCTGAGTAAATGCATTGTCTCTTGACTGAACCATTTACAGCAGGAAGCAACATGTTTGATCCATGACATGTAGTCAGTCACAGAAATATCAAAAGTGCCCACACTATTCAGTTCTGGGGCAGGAGGGTCATGAAGTGTTTCCATTACTCAGTGATGCTTGAAGAAATCTAAAAAGGCACATCAATGGGAATGCCAGCTCGAATGAATATTACAAATGGAAATAAGTCTAATTAAGAATCAATTTATGACTTGAATTCTTAAAAATCTAAAATTGCAAAATAAGTTACAAGTCAAGAGTTTTGACACTAAGCTCATATATGCAAAACTATTTGACACAATTGACGATTGAGTGATTGATGTATTTATTGTGACATGTATTTGTTATAAATACAGAGAAAAGTGTTGTATAATGTCGCCGCTCCCTGGCGCCATCTTAAAATATAGAAATAAACCAAACACAGGTGTAAAGATAGAAAAATAAGAACATAAAGTTAAAAGTTGAACATTGCATTCCTTTAGCGCTTAGCCATGGACCTGAATCCAGGCTCTTCCACCCCGAGCATGACAGACCGTTGCGAGCTTGAAGCAGTCAGCCAGCTGCAAGTTCCTTCACTGCACCACCGCTGAGGAACCATGGCACCATCCTGCCTTTACTGTCGACGCCATGAGTCCACACAGGGCCAGTCTCAGAAATGCAGCCACCACTGAAGCTGCCGGGTCCCTCATCGGGCATTGGCCCTGAACTCGCCTCCTTCCATTATTGCCAGGAACACAAATCTCGCCTCCTTCTGCTGCGAGAACTAATGTGATTTTCTGTACCGCCGGCAGGAACAAACCCTTGCCTCCGACCTCAATGCTATCCGAGCTCTCCACAAGATGATAAGTAAGGTTAAAGTAAACAGAGGAAGACAAAAAAAGAGGGAAACCAGTTGGAGCAGATGAGCTCTTGGGCTCGGGAGTCCGAACGCCACACTGCTGCTCCATCACCATCTAAACTGGAAAATGGCAAATAGCTGAAGTACCAGAAACCATTGTATTTCATCAAATAAAATTAATCCAAGAAAATCCATTACTGAATTAACTGTCGTCTTAAAGGCGTTAGCTGTGGATTAAGTGCAACGTTCTTTCACTTCTATGACTGGCATAATCTAATTGCTGAGAGGAACACCCCTTATTTCCCCGGTACAAAGCTCCAAAACATTTCATTTGGGAAAGCTCAATCCTGTCTCTAGTGGAAACAGTAGAGGCAAAAGTGGTCCTTCCTTGGCACAGCAATTTCAGTCAGATACAGCACTTCAATGACTGATGACAATGACTGAAAAAAGGACAATGTTCTAACAGAGAGCTTCAGAATAAGTCAGTTCCAAAGAAGAATCATTTGACTCAAAATATTAACTGTTTCTTACTCCACAGATACCACTAGACTTGTTGAGTTTTCCTGACAATCTGTTTGGATTGTAATAATTGTGAATCTAATGTTCAGGTGGGCACATCAGGTAGTTGATCTCAGAGCACTTGATATTGGACCCAAGGGAGTGAACAAAGAAAAATATTCTCTCCTCCAGGGCTGACATCCCAACACCCAGGTTTGATGAAAGACTGGTGACTGAAAACATTAACTACTGTTTCTTTCTCTACACTGCTACCTGATCTGGAGGGCATTTTGTGAATTCCGCATTCTGGAGAAACTCAAAATATTGCTAAAGAGCGATATGAAGTCAATCTCGATAGTCTTTCACACATCAGGACTGAAACACAAGACAGCCAAGAATTTATACAGCATGAGAAGAGGGTGCTGGAATGGAGGTGCAGCAGGAACTATTAACAGCCAATCTCAGTTAATCTGATTAAACTCATGTTTTTTTTTTAAATTGTTTACATTCTGTATTACTGATGGAAAATACAGCAGATGCATTCCTGCTTTCAGCAACACACAAGCTAAAAACAATTTTGTACACCTATCACAAAATACAGTTATAGAGTCATAGAGTAACACAGCACAGAAACAGGCCCTTTGGCCCAAACTGGTCCATGCTGACCATGGTGTCCACTCAGCTCATTCCAATTACCCACATTTGGTCCATATCCCTTTAAACACTTTCCATCCATGTACCTATCCAAATGTTTTTTTAAATGTTGCTATTGTACATGCCTCAATCACTTTCTCCAGCAGCCAATTCCATATACACACCAAACTCTGCGTGAAGAAGTTGCCCCTCGGGTCCATCTTAAATCTTTACCATCTCACCTTAAACCTATGCCCTCTAGTTCTCAATTCCCCATCCCTGGGAAAAAGACTATATGCATTCATCCTAACTATGCACCTCATGATTTTATGCACCTCAATAAGGTCATCACTCTCCTACATTCCAAGGAATAAAGTCCTATCCTGGTTAACCTCTCCCTGTAACTCAGACTTACTAGTCCTGCCAACATCTCGCTAATCATTTTTTGCACACTTTCCAGTTTAGCTATGTCCTTCCTATAACAGGGTGACCAAAATTTACACAATACTCCAAGTGTGGCCTCACCAACGACTTACACAACTATAACAAACGTCCCAACTCCTATGCTCAATGCCAAACGCCTTCTTCACCACGCTGTCTACCTGTGATGCCGCTTTGAATGAACTATGTACTTGTACTCCAAGTCCCTCTGTTCCACAACACTCCTCAGGGCCTTACCATTTACTGTACAAGTCCTACCTTGGTTTGGCTTTCCAAAGCGCAACATCTCACATTTATCTCTATTGAATTGCATTTACCAATCCTCAGCCCACTTCCCACCTGATCAAGATCCCTCTGTAATTTTCAATAACCTTCCTCGCAATCAACTGTACCTCTTAATTTTGTATCATCCGCAAACTTACTAATCAGGCCTTGTACATTCACAAGAATGTCATTTACGTAAATAACAAATATCCCAGCACCGACCCCTGTGACACACCAGCAGGCACAGGCCTCCAGTCTGAAAAACAACCTTCAACCATCACCCTCTGCTTCCTACCATCGAGCCAAATCTGAATCTAATTAGCTAGCTCTCCCTGGGGGACACAACCTTCATGACTAGCCGGCCATGCGGGACTTTACTGAAGTCCATACAGACAACATCCACTGCCCTATCGTAATCTATCCTCTTGGTTACCTCTTCAAAAAACTCAGAATCGTCAGACAGGCTCACCAGCCTGTAATTCCTTGGCTTGTCTTAGTACAGCAGGCCATTCAGCCCACCGTGTGTGCTATGAATCTGCACCTTCAGAGAATTAGAGAATCCTTCATAGTATCCCTAGAATGTGGAAACAGGTCATTCAGCCCAACAAGTCCACACTGATTCACCCCCTACCCTATCCCTGTAACCCTGCAATTCCCATGGCTAATCCACCTAACCTACACATCCCTGGACACTATGGTCAATTTAGCATAGCCAATCCACCTAGCCTGCACATCTTTAGACTGTGGGAGGAAACTGGAACACCCAGTGGAAACCCATGCAGCCACGGGGAGAATGTCTATGTGGAGTTTGCACAGTCACCCAAGGCTGAAATTGAACCCAGGTCCCTGTGCTGTGAGGCAGCAGTTCTAACCACGCCGCCTGAGATAAATGGAACAACTAAAGACTATCCCCTCATCACCCAGGAGCCCCATACATTCTTCCATGTCTAAGAAGGAAAGCCATCATATGCATTAGGACAAATCATCATCTGAAGTGATGTCACATTACCTGCAAAAAGGCTTTTGGAACCTCCAGCCACCTGAACAACATTTAAAGCTGACAATGTTTCAGAAAATGAAGGGACTTTTATCTAAGAGCAAAAACAAAACACTCATTAGTTCTGTAAAACAAGTGGCATGGTAGACTAATGATTAAATCAGAGGAAAACTCTTTTCAAGACTGCTTTTAAATTTCAAAACAAATTATTCACAGAAGTACAGACAACTAAAGTGACAACAACATTGTCAATTATTACAAAGCAAAGGATTAAAGGCAATTCATCATATGGTCTCTTCTGTACTCAACAATTACACATTGAAGCATATCCAAACATATGCACTTTATTACAGAGAACACAATATTGAACAAACAGCATTTCTTTTCCTGGTCCAAACATTCCAAAGAGTCCTTAACTGGCTCATGGTTCAGAAGTTGTCTCTTTTAAAAATTAACTTATTTTTCTAATCAACCTGTTCAGAGGTGTTATTACACACCTTGGCATATATGGGACTTGAGCCTGGGCCTCCCGGTTCAGGGATAGGGATACTGTATCACAAGAGGGCCCCTCTAACAGACGGCTTTTTTCTTAATATTTAACTTATTTTTTTAATCAACATGTTCAGAGATTTTACTACACACCCCTGGAGCAGGTGGAACTTGAACCCAGGTCTTCCAGTAACTGGTAGCAATACTACCACAAGACTGCCCTCCATGCTATGATGATTATCTGATTCAAACCATGTGTACAAAAGTTAATGTTAAGATAACAAAAATACCACAGAAACAGTAATTCTACCTTTGAACCTTTCAGTCCTCCCAGCTGATCTTTGTCATTCAGTCCCCAGACGAATACTTTTGTTCTAATGGTGGCTGAAGATTCTATGCCAGATGCTTTCTTCCGTACGAGGCTTGGGAAGAAATAACAATTTCTGAAGTTACATCATTGAAAGGTAACATTTTTAGTTCTCCTCTTTTAATCATAAAACTTTGTCAATTCCAATTAGCTGTACTAAAATTATAAATTACAAATAGTTGTTCAGCAGAACAGAACTGAGTAAGCAGGGAAAAAGACATTTTGTTAAAGTTTTTCATCTTGCATTCATCAGGATATCTTGCAAAAATAACAATTCAAGGGGACTGCCTACATTTATGCTGCATGAAAGGAGTGTTGATGGTTTGTCAAGTGCACTCCGAATGCTTACAGGATTAGAGAACATAAGAAACAGAAGCAGAGTAGATTATATAACTCAGTGAATCTGCTCCATAATTTGGTACAATCATGGCTGATTTCACCTCTAACCCCACTGCCTAATTGCTCCTTTTACCATTCCACACCCTGAGAAACTTTGAACCTATGTCGCACAAAACATTAGCCAAACAATCTAGGTTACTAGTCAAATGCCATCACCTGAACACCACTACCTCACCATATCAAAAATGTCAATAGCTTTGTGTAAGCACGCACTACCAGTCAACTTTTGCACTGAAACATTTGTATGTGCACATTTACACTGGAATATTTAAAGGCAAATGAGCAATGCTGTAATGGCCATAAAGACAGGATGCCCAAAAGAAACAGAAAGTAAAGTTAAATTATTTCAGAAGAACGCAAGTTGTTTCACAAAAATTCCAACCTCTTGCATCAGTTACTCCAGTTATCAATAAACACAAAGTCAGTACCTTCCAGTATTGCTTTTATCATCATCTTCCTCTTCATTGTCCGAAGCAAGGAAAGGGAAGTTTGCTGCAAGATCCTCATCTTCTGCTCGGATACGTCCTACAATGCTCAAGCCATGAATTTTGCAATCAATCCCAGAACTTCTGCACTGTTTGATTGCAATCTCAATATACCTGTGCTGCTCAGAAAATGAGGAGGTGTGGTTATAAAAAGACAACCTACAATGTGGTCCAGTTTCATAAAAGTACTAAAACATTATTGCCTAAACACTAAGGATTGTTGACTACCAATGGTCACTTCAATAATGTTTTGGTCAAAGGCATTAAAAGGAGGGTCTTAAACATGGAGTTAATTAGGGGACACAGGCAGGCAAGTTCGTTCACCTTTATTAGCTTTGTATCATTTTATGGGACTTTTTTTGCTGCAGATGCAGACAGAAGTCATATTTGTAGACTTGAATGTTGAGACACACAAGGTAGGGATTTTCAGATGGCAAAGTGAGCCAGATTTGTGGGGAATCCATCCCTACCAATACTAGCATGCCCACAGCCATTTAAACCTTCCACAGAGCAGCAATTCACTGGAGGTAGGACTTTCAGTCTACACTCAAGAGGAAGTCCAACCTCAGAACAGCTCGGCCAATTTGATAGGGTACAGCAAACCCAAAAGGGGGCCCCATCAGGGAGATATCTTAACGCTGTCAGCAACCCCTAGCCAGCCAAACAGGTGGGTCTCCCAACCCAACCCCTGATCTACTCTCACTGACCTGAACATTGCAGCCAGGCAGCAAGTGGTACTTGTGGTCATTTGGCAATTTAATGACCTTAACTGAGAACAGAACAAGCAGGCATACAACAAGGCGGCCATATGGGAATTTTACATAGCCCAGCTGGCAAAACCGTCAGCTGAAAGACCCGAAATATTCTGGTCAAAGTCAGAAGATAGCAAGGGTGTGAAGGGACCACAGAAGATAGCAAGATAGAAGGCATGACCTTGATTAGGTGTATGAAAAGGGCTACAGCCAGGCAGACACAAAGTCCACTAGGCACCTAAAGCAGTTTCATCTCAAGTCAAAAAGCATTAGTGACTATTTAACTGGTTACCAGGACTTATCTTCGCATTGTATATAAGTCGTCAACACCTCTAAGATAAATGAGATTGCACATACTCCTTAAAACATCCTTGAGAACACATACCTCCACACATTCATTCAGCAGCATTACAACAGTGTCTGTAGGGGTGATATTGATAGTCTTCAATTCAATGAGATTATCAAGTGAGTTTCCACCTTAAAAAGAATTATTTGATCAGAAAAATATTTACCCAAGTAAAAACAAGGTAAATATAAATAGTACGCAAGATGTTTAACTTACCTGAGACTACTACTAATGAAGGCATATAACTACTGTCAGCAGGATCGACAACCATATTTAGTCTATGAACAAGGACATCTGGGAAGATTTCCAAGCGAATCCAGTGCTAGCAAACAAAAAAAAATTAAGAGAACACATCTATCAGTAAGTTGAAAAACTGCTTCACCAAATGAGATTGATTGATGAACTGCTCACATTATTCCATACTTTTAAAAAAAAAAAAAAAAAAAAAAAAATCGAATCATCATGGATACTACAGATTTGAAATGTGAAGTGTACAAATAAGAAGCACTAAAATACATTTTCACAAAGTTTACCTTATGGATTATTTAGATCAATACAGGAATAGAGCATCAGTTGTGAGCCACGAAGAATGCTCCAACCTAGTGATCATGCATGCATCTAGTTTCATTACCTCAAACAGTCTTAGCTCTGCCATTCTACCAGCTAAGAGACTATATATTCCTCCTCCTATTGCTCTTGAAGGCACAAGACATGAGCATGCAGAAACAACTAAACTTGCTTAGGTTGTTGCCAATGCCATATCTACAGAAATACAGTGGTCAAGTTAAAGAAGAATTGCAAACACAACCTTTATTCAGAAATATTTGCTTCAGAAAAAATACCATTCCAGAAAGACTTAGTGGCAGATAGCCACAACGACAATCAAAGTAAAAGCAGCATTTGCAAGGCACAGCTGAAATATCAAGTCAATAGTACAAAAAAATTGAAGATCACAGAATAAGGTGGCACTCAACATGGTACTGAAGTAGTAACTAAATTGCATTCATTAATTCCTGGCATTTTATTCTTTGCTCAGAAGTAAATCAGAACGGTGCAAGAGACTTAAGGAATCTTACAGCTCATGGCTAAAGATTGCTTTTGAACCAGATACTTTATTTGCATACCATCTTAAGAAAAAGCAGGAAACCATTCAGTACATCAAGTTTTTGTGGAGGGGGGGGTGATGGGGGCAACAGGAAGTGGGGGAAAGAGGGGGAAAGGAGTGTGGAGGACTCCTCAGGAGTCAGTGTTGAGATGCAAGTTTTTCTCAATTCCTATCGCTGACCTAGACCTTGGTCTACAGGGCACAATCTCAAATACTGCAGACAATATGGAATTTGGAAGCACTGTGAACGATGGACAGATGGGGTGGGATTTTTTTTAAAAAGGAACCCCATAGATAAATTGGTGAAATGGGCAGACAAGTGGCAGATGAAGTTCAGCAAGCAGAAATATGAAGTGATCCATTTGGGTAGGAAGGACATGGAGAGACACTATAAAAACTGTCATTGAAGGTGACAAGACAGTTGACAGAGCAGCTTATAAAGCATAGTGTCCTTGGCTTTATTAATAATGACATAGAATGCAAGAGCAACTGGGTTAAATTGAGACTAGATCAGCCTCAGTCAGAGTATTGCATATACTACGGAAGATGCAAAAAAGATTCACAAGAATGAATCCAAGAACAAGGAACTTCAGCTATGAAGAGAGATTGATTTAGTTAAAGCCTGTTCAGCATCTAAAAGTATAAGTCAGAAGTGTGCTAGAATACTCCCTGGATGGGTACGGTTCCAACACACCGACACTATCCAGGGCAAAGCAGCCTGCTTGACTGGCACCACGTTCACAAACTTTCACTCTGCCTGCCACCAATACTCAGTAGCAGCAGCGTGCATCATCTATAAGAATCACTGCTACAACTCACCAAAGCTCCTTAAACTGTATTATCAAACCTATGGCCACACCATTGAGAAGGACAAGGGTAGTAGATATATGGAACACCAACTTGAAGTCCCCATCAAGCCCCAAAGCATCCGGATTTGGAAATGTGTTTGCCGTTCACTGTTGCGGGTTCAAAATTCTGAACCTCCCCCCCGAGCAACATTGTGAACGTACCTGTACAACCTGCACTGCAGCTGTTCAAGAATGCAGCTGACCACCGTCTTCCCAAGGACAACCAGAGCTGAGCAACAAATGCTGGCCCAGGCAGCGAAGCCCACATCTACATGAAGTAATTTTTTTTTTTGAAAAACAATAGAGATATTCAATATCATAAGGGGTCTGGACAAGCAGGTAGTGGGAGAACGTTCCCACACATGAATAGATCAAGATTGAGACAACACCAATTTAAAGTAATTGGCATAAGTGGCAAAAGTACCAAAAGCGACAAGTAAAAAGTGAAAACCTGAGGTCTGGAGGGCAATGCATGAGTGTTGGTGGAGGCCGATTCAATTGGGGCATTCAAAAGGGGAATCTGGTTGTTCTTTTTTAAATAACAAATGTGCAAGGTTTTGGGGAGAAGGTGAGAAGATGGCACTAAGTGAATTAAAACCAAAGAAATTGTGGATGCTGTAAATCAGGAACAAAAACAATGTTGCTGGAAAAGCTCAGCAGGTCTGGCAGCATCTGTGAAGGAGAAAACAGAGTTAACATTTCAGGTCCAGTGACCCTTCCTCAGAACCTGAAACGTTAACTCTGTTTTCCCTTCACAGATGCTGCCAGATCTGCCGAGCTTTTCCAGCAACTTTGTTTTTGCACTAAATGAATTGTTCATTTCAGACAGCTGGGGCAGATACAAAGGGCTGATTGTTCCAACGAAAGAAGACGACAATCTGTCACCCAGAATGGATGACCTGAACAAAATAAAACAATTGAGGTTAACTTCCTCAAAGAAAAAAAAATTGGGATTTTTCCTAACTGAGGCAGATTATCTTCTGATTTCAGCTCCAGATTATAAGAGCTGACAAAAATCATATCCAGCAAAATTGTACAATTTGAACAGTTTTGGAGCAACAAGCAGTGGATGATGGATATACCTTTCAAGTGTATGGAAGATAAATGTGCAAGTTAGAAAGATTGGCATATCAGTGACTGCTCACTTACTTTCCCTTGTGAGCCTGAAGACTGCCAACATTGTCCAGAGCCATCAATCAGGCGGGAAATTTGGCTGACAGACGAGGAGACTCCGAAGTTCTTTACAATTCTCGACCAATCGTCTAGCAACATTCCTCTCTCACAACTGTATCGCTTATTCTGTTGCTTTCCGGAACGTCCAGCAAATACTGGTGATTGTCCTTTAAACCAACAAACACATTATTACTAACAGAACTATTTCTGTCTGTCTGACAGCATTCTGTCAGGTAGATCATAAACAACAACCATCGTATTTTCCAGCAATGTCACGCAAGATCAATGGGGTCACAGAAAGAAAAACAATGTTGGGGTGGCATGGCGGCTCAGTGGTTAGCACTGCTGCCTCAGCACCAGGGACCCGGGCTCGATTCCAGCCTCGGGCAACTGTCCGTGTGAAGTTTGCACATTCTCCCCGTGTCTGCGTGGGTTTTCTCCGGGTGCTCCGGTTTCCTCCCACAGTCCAAAGGTGTGCAATTTGGTGGATTAGCTATGCTAAATTGCTCATTATGTCTAAGGTGGGAAATACAGGGATGGTGTAAGGAGATGGGTCTGGGTGGGATGCTCCTCGGAGAGCCAAATGGCCTGCTTCCACACTGTAGAAATTCTGTGTCACAGGAAACCTAAACTGGGGTTAGAAGAGAAATGGAATTGGCTTTTATCTACACAGCTTAAAACACAAATACCGATTGGAAAGAAAACACATTACACAAAAAATGGTTTGATATTCTGCTTAAATATTACCTTTACTAATAACATTTAAATCATACATTACAAACTTCTGTTGTTCAAAAATAACTTCGCTACATGATGATTATCAACTGTCACACTGTTCTTGCAGAAGATAATTAAAAGTCTGGCTAAATTCATGCAGGTTATTTCAACATTGCAGGAAATATAATTACATTTTGTTTTGTGATTTGGAACGATGAACTATAAAACGTACTTGCGTTTTAAAAATAAATCTACTAAGAAATTGTACAATGCATCTCACCTGGCTCATTAATTCTACCAAAAGTATGCCTTGAATTGTGTTTTCTAGTCTTGAAACAGTTTTCACAGTAGTCAAAATCATCACAGTTTCTACATTTGAACCTGGGCCCATTCATTGGAAACATCTGGCAGCCATCACACCTGCATTTTTTTTTTAAAGAAACAGGGTAAAATCACAGTCTGATTATTGGAAAGAAATTATTAAATTTTTGGAAGCAAATCCATCATAATGCCTTTTATATAAATCTCCTTATTCACTGAATGAAATTCAACATCGACATAAATAAAAGCAGGTCCCAAATTAAAACAAAGCAATCGTTCTTCAAATACCTTGCAGGTCATTCAAGCAAGGAATTACACTACCTTCTATTCCAAACATTTATAAACAAGAAATTGAAAGTCCTGAAATTCATAATCAGAAGTCACATGACACCAGGTTATAGTTCAACAGATTGAAATCACAAGCTTTCAGAGCGCTGTTCCTTCGTCAGGTGAAGCGGAAGTGGCTCCTTTACTGTACTGCCTCTTGTCGACAGGTGTTATCATAGATTGTGTCCCCTCAAGGTTCCTCCAAGTGGGTTTTGTCATCTGACTTGATGAAGCAGCAGCGCTCTGAAAGCTTGTGATTTCAAATAGACCTGTTGAACAAGAACCTGGTGTCATGTGACTTCTGACTTTGTCCACCCCAATCCAACACCAGCACCTCCACATCATGGCTACCATCGACACCTGAAGTTCATAGAATTTGCAAGAATGAGAAGAAATTTTGTTCAAACATACAGAATTCGAGGGGTTGACAGGATAGATGCAGTGGGAGTGTTTCCCCTTACAGAAGCATGCATAACTAGAGGTCACAATCTCAGAATAAGGGGTCAGCCATTTAGGATACAGACGAGCAGAAACTTCTTTGCTCCAAAGGTTGAAAATCTCGAGAATGTTTAGAATTCTCTACCCTTAAACGGTTGAGGATGCTTTGTCATTCAGTTCATTTAAGGACTCCTATTTCTTATGTTATTGCACATCATAGGAGGATTTGATTGTGCTTGAGAATTTGGAAGACAATTCAATGTCGAGGAATGTGAATTGCTTTTCAGGAGAACAGGGGAAAAAAAACTCAGCGAAAGACTATTACCTCAATGAAAATAAAACAATGTGCATGGGCCAAATTGGTCTCAGTGACTGAATGGAATAGAAACCAGACTCGAGGAATTCAGACAAGGGGTGAAAGGGGTAGCCAAGGAACTCTGAAGGAGCTTATTCATGGAGCTTGGAGATGGGTGATAGTTAGTGAGGGTGGATGGATCAAGGCTTTCTTTTCCCCCTACGACGAATATAAAAAATATAGCAACAGGATTAAGCCATTTGGTCCCTCGAGCCCGCCCCACCATTCATTAAGATCATGGCTGATCTGTCCCAGGCCTCAACTCCTCTTCCGTGTCAGCTCAACACAGCCCTCAACTCCCCAATACTTCAAAACAAAACCTACCTCCTCTTTAAACACTTTCAGTGATCTAGCCTTCACAATTATCAAGTAGAGAATTCCAAATATTCATCACCCTCTGGGAGAAATCTCTTCGCATTCCAATTTTAAATGCGCATCCTCATTTTCTGTAACTATGTCCTCTAGTTCGCTATTCCCCCACTAGTGGGCACCTTCTCAAAGTCCACTCTGTCTCGCCCCCTCAATTTTCTACATTTCAATAAGATTACCCCTTATTCTTCAGGAACACGAATGGATAAAGACCTAAGCATTTAGCCATTCTTGAGTCACTCCCTTCATCCAAGGAATCAGTTTAGTGAATCTCTTTTGAACTGCTTCCATGGCCAATACACCCTCTCTTAAATACAGAGGGGCCAAAAATGTACACAGTACGCCAACTGCAGCGCCACCCATACCCCGCATGGTTGAAACAAAACTTTTGCATTTTTAAACTCCAATCACCTTGCAATCAAAAAGTACCAGTGGATGTAGTGTATTTAGATTTCCAGAAGGCATTTGATGATGTGCCATATAAAAAGTTATTGCATAACATAGGAGTTCATGGTATTGAGGGTATTTAATTAGCATGGTTTGAGGATTGGGTAACACAACAAAGATGATATTCAGGATTAATGGGTTTTTTGCATTTTATAAAGACATAACTGGTGAAGTGTCACCAAGATCAGTCATACAGCCTCAAGTCATTTACTATGTTAATAACTTGGGGGAGGGTCAGCATGTAATGTATCCAAATTTGATGACAATTAAAAAAAACCTGGGAGAGTGCCTTTATCAACTATGTTTCTTACACCCTCAAAGAATTCAAGCAAACTGATCAAACATGATGACCCTTCAAAAAAACCATATTGACTCTTTCTGATTGTGTTTTCAAAATAACTTGCTACTTCTTTCTCTATAATGTATCCTAGCATTTTCCCAATGACAGATGTTAGGCTAACTGACCTATGGCTCACTGCTTTCGGTCTCCCTCCCTTTTTGTTTGAAACAGGGCACCTTATTGAGAGAGGAGTGAGGACAGCTGTCTTGAAGGGGGAAGAAAGTTACCAGAATGAAAGGAGAAACTGACAATGTCACCTAGCATTCAACTAACACTACAAGGCTAACAAGGTGCAGAGCTGGATGAACACAGCAGGCCAAGCAGCATCACAGGAGCAGGAAGGCTGACGTTTCGGGCCTGGACCCTTCTTCAGAAATGGGGGAGGGGAAGGGGGTTCTGAAATAAATAGGGAGAGAGGGGGAGGCGGATAGAAGATGGATAGAGGAGAAGATAGGTGGAGAGGAGACAGACAGGTCTCCTCTCCACCTA